ATCTTGATTGATACCGGGAGCTCATCTGACCTCATCAGCTACCGGTGCTTGGAGAAACTCAAGTATAAGCCCAGTAGCATGCATCCGGCCTCATACCCTCTTGTAGGTTTTGGGGGAGGAGTAGTACATCCGGTGGGCATGATTGATCTACCCATCCGGTTCGGAGAGAAGGGGAAGGGCCGGCACATGGTTGTCAAGTTTCTTGTTGTAGAAGAGCTGACTGCCTACAATGGCCGTCCAACCCTTAACCTCTCAAAGGCAGTCATCATCCCATCTCTAATGTTGATAAAGTTTGAAAGGGATGATGGCACAGTCGGTTCCTTGAGTGGGGACCAAAAGATGGCGAGAGAGTGTTACCTCTCGGACATCAAACCAACGCTTAACACAGGCGGTCAAGAGAAAGAAATTGTTGAACTTGACGACTGTGATCAAAGCTTACCAGCTACAAAGCCAGCCGGTAAAAAGAGGAAGGCGGACCAACTGGCGCCTGTAAAGGAGAAACAATAGCAATCACTGTCCGGGGAGAGGACAGACGTCCTTCGCCCTCAGCCGGCTGGAGAAATAATTGATGTTGTCCTTGAAGACAGCCGGCCAGATAGAACCGTCAAGGTTGGAACGGCTGCGTTTGAAAGTTTGGGATCAGATTTGCTCCTTTTGCTGAAGGAGTTCAAAGATGTGTTTGCCTTTGAAGTAGAAGAGATGCCGGGTGTAAGTCCGGATCTTGCTGTACATAGACTCGCTGTGGATCCTAAGAAAAAGCCGGTCAGGCAAAAGAAACGGAACCATGGCGAGGAAAGGTCCCAGGCGGCAGCAACCGAGGTCAAGAAACTCTTGGATGCTGGGTTCATCCGGCAATGTTACTACCCGGATTGGGTAGCCAATGTCGTCCTTGTGAAAAAGCCGAATGGAACTTGGCGGATGTGTGTAGATTACACGGACCTCAACAGGGCTTGTCCAAAAGATAGCTACCCGCTTCCAAAGATAGATCATTTGGTAGACTCTACAGCCGGCCATGCTCTGATGAGTTTCATGGACGCCTATTCCGGCTTCCATCAGATACCCTTGTGGAAGAAAGACCAAGAGAAGACGGCTTTCGTCACAGATCAAGGGCTATATTGCTACACGGTGATGCCGTTTGGGTTGAAGAATGCGCCTGCTACTTTCCAGCGAATGATGAACTCGGTCTTTTATGATCAGATTGGAAGGAACGTGGAGGCGTACATTGATGATATGATTGTCAAGTCAAAGCTGCAGGCGGATCATCTAGCCGACCTCCGAGAAACTCTCACCACCCTCAGACGGCATAAAGTCATGTTAAATCCAAAAAAATGCGTCTTTGGAGTTGAGTCCGGGAAGTTTCTTGGATTTTTGATTGATCAGAGGGGCATAGAGGCCAATCCGGACAAAGTACAGGCGGTGATTGACATGCAGTCGCCACGTACCGTCAGGGAGGCTCAAAAGCTTACCGGTTGCGTGGCGGCATTGGAGAGATTCCTCAGCCGGTCAGGTGACAAGTGCCTGTATTTCTTTCAAGCAATCAAAAAGAGGTCAAGGTTTGAATGGGGTGAAGAGGCTGAGGCGGCATTTCAACGGCTGAAGCAACACCTGCATTCTTTGCCAAGATTAGTGAGTCCCCTACCCCAGGAGGCTCTCTACATGTACTTGGCCGTCTCGGATCACTCCTTGAGCGCCGTCCTCCTTGCTGAGAGAGACGGTAATCAGCTCCCGGTATACTTTATAAGCCATGTCCTCCGGAATGCTGAACTTCGTTATCCCATGATCGAAAAATTCGGTCTGGCTTTGTTCAAAGCAGTCAAGCGGCTGAAACCGTATTTTTTAGCACATCCGGTGACCGTTTACACTGATCAGCCGCTCAAAAGGCCTATGACCACTTTAGAGTCATCCGGAAGAATGATTAAATGGGTTGTGGAAATCCAAAGCTTAGAAATCACTTTCGAACCCAGGCGAGCAGTGAAGGGTCAGGCGTTTGCCGACTTCATTGTTGAAATGACAAGGCCAATACAGCCGGATAAAACTGATCAAGTTTGGAGGGTTTATGTAGACGGGAGCTCTACGCTGAATGGTTGCGGAGCGGGTGTAATTATTCACTCTCCGGAGGGGGACAAATACGAGTATGCTCTACGATTCAAGTTTCAAGCTTCGAATAATGAAGCTGAATACGAGGCCCTGCTAGCCGGTATCCGCATGTGTAAGGCAGTCGGGGCAAGGAAAGTTGACACCTGCTCAGATTCCCAACTCATCGTTAGCCAGTACAACGGTGACTACGAGGCCACCCATCCGGTGATGATTAAGTATCTTCAGGCAGTCAAAGAGGAGGCTGGGGCATTTGATGAATTCAACCTAAGTCAAGTACCCAGATCCGAGAATCATCAGGCGGATGCACTATCCAAACTCGCATCCTCCGCCACATGTGATACGCCTAGATCAGTCTTCTGGGAAGTCATGGAAAAGAAAAGCATTGAACATGACCCCATTGGAGTTCTAGATCGAAGCTCCACTTGGATGGACCCCATCCGGAATTACTTGGTAGACGGCACTCTACCGAAAACCTCATCCGAAGCAGCTGCTCTTAAAAGACGAGCATTAAGCTTCGCAATGCACAAAGGTGAACTGTTCCGGAAGGGTTACTTGCAGCCGCTATTCAAGTGTGTTACCCCAGAACGGGGTAAGGAAATACTGGAAGATCTGCACGCCGGCTTCTGTGGATCTCACATTGGCGGGAGGACCCTCGCCAAAAGAACCCGGCGGCAAGGATACTTTTGGCCTACCCTTGAGGCGGATGCATTAGATCTGGTGAAAAGATGTGACAAGTGCCAGAGGTTCGGCCGGCTGATAAGGCAGCCGACAACTGATTTAACAGCTATTCACAGTCCAATTCCCTTTGCAAAATGGGGCATGGATATTTTGGGGCCATACACTCCTGCCCCAGGCGGCAGAAGATACATCTTGGTGGCTGTTGATTACTTCACCAAGTGGGTCGAGGCCGAGGCGGTTAAGGGCATCAAAACTAAGGATGTCATCTCCTTCATCTGGAGAAATGTCATCACCCGGTTCGGTGTACCAATGTCAATGGTCTTTGACAATGGCCCCCAGTTCGAAACGCCTGTCCTAAAGACTTGGTTGCAAGATCAAGGGATTTCCCACTACTTTGCATCCGTTGGCCGTCCGCAAGCAAACGGTCAAGTTGAAGCTTTCAACAAGCTCATCTCAGGCGGCATAAAGAAAAAGATCGAGAAGGCAGGCGGGCTTTGGGCAGAAGAGTTGACTCACGTTCTTTGGTCCATCAGAACTACTGAGAAGGGGTCAACCGGTGAAACTCCATTCCTTATGGCATATGGCACAGAGGCGGTGCTTCCCATTGAATTATATGAGCCAACACTTCGAATCATGTTGTATGATGAAGAGGCAAATTGGGAAGCCATGCGCCTGTCTCTGGATACTCTTCCAGAAAGAAGGGGCAACGCCGCCTTGCGTCATGAAATCTACCGCCTTCGAATGACGAGGGCCTACAACAAAAGGGTGCGTAAACGCCCCCTCAAAGTTGGAGATTTTGTATTACGGAAGCTTGAAGCAACCGGTAGGGCACGCGAACAAGGGAAACTGACCCCAAACTGGGAGGGACCCTACCGGATTTTTGAAGAAGTTAGAAACGGCACATACCGCCTGGAAACCCCAGACGGAATGCGGCTGCCTCGTACCTGGAATGTAGATAACTTGAAAAAGTACTACTTCTAAGGATTTTGTGAAAGCATATAATTTCCATTCATACAATTGTATTTGCACCTGTCTAGTGCAAGAACACAGACGGAAGAACACTTGTTAAAACCACTGCTCCAAAAAGAGCAGTCATCCGGTGACACCCATCCGGGTGAATCACTGAAGAGAACAGCTCCCTTCTGGGTGGAACATTGTTCTAGCGATCCAATAACTCAAACGGCATTTGTCTAAAACAATTTTGCAGCCGTTAGAAATGATCCTTTGCATCTAGGATTCATCCGGCAAGGACCCAAAAGAGGTCCATCCGGGTGAATCACTGGAGAGAACAGCTCCCTTCTGGGTGGAACATTGTTCTAGCGATCCAATAACTCAAACGGCATTTGTCTAAAACAATTTTGCAGCCGTTAGAAATGATCCTTTGCATCTAGCATTCATCCGGCAAGGACCCAAAAGAGGTCCATCCGGAAAAATGAAATTCCTAATGGGCCACCGTAACCACCTAAACGGTTTTACATCCCATCCTATATATAATTGTACCAGACGGGGCAAAGTTAGGTCAGTCACTGACCCCCCATCCGGCTTTTTATTGTACCAGACGGGGCAAGGTTAGGTCAGTCACTGACCCCCCATCCGGCTTTTTATTGTACCAGACGGGGCAAGGTTAGGTCAGTCACTGACCCCCCATCCGGCTTTTTATTGGACCAGACGGGGCAAGGTTAGGTCAGTCACTGACCCCCCATCCGGCTTCCATGAAACGGCTGCCAGTCTACTGTTGGGGTAAACAGGTAGCCATTTCAGGGGCATATTGTGGTATCGCTACTTCATCCGGCATATATAGAACGGCTGAAATACTTGTAAATACTTGTAAAAATGCATATATAAAAAAATGCTAATAATAGAGATAGCAAAACCGACTGTGTCGGTTAAATAGATTAATATTAATCTAACGGAAATGTTAGCCGGACCCCCGTCCGGGAAAGTTACATTGAAAATACACGGCACGCAGGCCGGTAAAAAAAGAGAGAAGTTTATGGTTGCTGATCTTGCTGTTGCTCTTGTTGCTGAGGCTGCTCCAACCCTTGAGCTACCTGAGTCTCAGCCGTCTGCTCCTGCAGCTGTTCCGGCTGGTCTCCCATTGGCACCCCATCCGGCTCTGACCCTAACCCCTTCTCAGCCCACTCGTCGAAAGGAGGAGGGGCAGGAGTGCCGAGTACTTGAGCTTCATAAACTTCAGAAGCATACAAGTAACGGAGGTTGAAATAGTTAAAGTCAGAGTCCGGATGGATGAGGCCCCAAGCCAGCTTCATGCGTTCCTCGCAGTCGGCTTCATTCTCTGAAATCAGGCGGCCGAGTTCCTCGTTCAGCTCCTTTTTGTGGGCCGCCTGAATATTAGCGAGTTGGACAGTCAGCTCGTTGTTCTTCTGGCGGAGGTCGGCATTTTCCCTGTCAGCACCTTCCAGAGCTCTAAGATCAGCCTGGAGGTTCTTGACCTTAAGCTCAAGATCTTCAACTTTCTTCTTAGCCTCATCCCCAGCCAGTACAGCCTTCTTCAGCAATTCCTCCTGTTCCAACTCCCTCTCTTTAGTTGCCTTATCATAGTTAATAGTATGAAATTGACTAGCGTCAATCAGGTCAAGGGCACGCTTCTGAGCGTCTCTTACCTCCTCTTGCTTTTTACGCAAGGGGACTCGGAGCCCGTCCACTCTCAGCATCACCTATGGTACCAGCCGGAAAGGGTGTTAGAACTAATGATGATAATTACTACTCATCTGGCAAAAACAGAGTTTGAGACATGTATAGGTCATTCGGGTTATTTACCTCAGCAAGAAGAGAGTTGATGCGATCCAGGTTAACCTGGTGTACAGCCGGCACTGCCTCCTTCTCAGAACGGGTCAGAGTCTTGACCATTCTCTTGGCATATTGGTTGTAGTCGGGCCGGCTGGTAGACTCATCTGCAAAGGAAGGTTTACTTGTCAGATACTGGGCATATGCGCCGCCTATATTCATGCGGCTGCCAGAGGAGCTCCCAGACTGGCTTGCATGAGTTTTGACTCTCATATACCCAAGCGGCCAGGGGGGGTCAAAGGCAGGTCAAAGGCAGAGGTGTTACCTTGTTCAGGCTGTGGGGTGCCATCCCCCCCAGCCGCATCTGAGCCAGATCCCATCCGGGTATGGCCCGCCGAAGCACTCGGCGTTAGCTGCAGGCTCTTCCCTGCGGTGGTTGGCCTGGCAGGGGCAGGCGTCCTCTTTGCAGGACTAGCTGCCAAAGGTGGACCCGGCAAAGCTTTTGAAGCCGGCTGAGGTATGTCACCAGCCGGTCTTTTGTGCATGCTTGCTAGTGATTTTGGCATGCCTTGGGTTCCACCCTGAAAATAGTCAAAACAAAGCAATCAGTTAGAAATAAAGGTAGCTCACCATATGTCATCCGGTAAGAAATGTAAGAGGTTTTACCCCAGCATTCTTGGCGGCCAGTGCCGCCTTCTTCTCTTCGATTTGCTTCTTTCTCAGCTCAATGGCTGAGAAGGCAGGTGTCTTTTCTGGAGGCACCATTCTTTTAGCTTTATCTGCAAAAAGGGAAATTCGAGTTAGAACAAGTGTACGCATAAGCAGGTGTCAGAATACCGGATGGGTTAATGAACCTACTCTTTTTAAACATTGAACTTAGATTGCAAAGGGACAAAAAGGTCTCATCCCTGAACCATTCCGGGAGGGGTACCCAGAACTTTGGGACGATGATTTCACTACCGTCCTCCATCAGATGGGTCGTTTTGAGGAAGAGACCCGTCTCCATTATTTGGTCCCAGGCCTCAGACGGCACTTTCGGGAGCGCGCATTTTTTGCCCAGCAATGCCGGGTGCTTATTATACCGCCGCAGCCTGTGATTTAGGGAAGTGGAAGGGGAAGAGACGACATAAAATTTGCTCTTCCAGTTGGTCCACTTTGATGGCTTCTCCAAAGTCATCATGTATTCTTGGTTGGTGGTAAGGGTGTACCAGGCATTCCACCCACCCGGAGCCCGGCTGAGGTAATGCATGTGTGCAAAAGCCTCCCAACTGGGGTTTACCTCCTGCAGCTCACATGCGGCAATGTACCCCAAAATATTGACCCAAGAGTTAGGAGTCAATTGCCATACGCCCAAGTCATACCCCAGCAATATGTCCTTGATGCAGGGGTGAAGGGGGAACCGGAGGCCTGCTTTGAATGCCGCCTCATAACAGCCGAAAAAATCATCGGCATGGTCCAAGTCGTCCGTCCATACGACGGCTGCATTAACAGGCGGGACTCTTATTTCCCAGTCCTTCCCAACTGGTTTCCTTTTAAAAAGAAAGGCAGGAAGGGTTGCAGTAAGGGTGACCACGTCTCTCGCAGACATGGTCATGTCAGTCGGATCCCCCTTAGCCGGCCATTTGTAGGCCTCCTCATCAATAGGCTCAGCCTCCTGTGCAGGGGCTTCAGATTCGGACCCAGACTCTTCTCCAGCAGATTCATCGCCGGATCCTTCGGCATTAGAATCAGAGTCTTCTAATATGCTGTCACCCGGTGTGCTCGGACCACTCGGGGAATCTTGACGAGTCCCCAGGGTTTCTTCCAAAGGAATTTCACCAGACGGTCCTGCCGTCTGGTCCTCGTTTCTGGGATCAGCCGGATCTTCGGCTGCGTCGTCGGACTTGTAATCCGGGTCAACTGCCGTCCATCTTATCCGAGCCATTCTGTCCTGCACATGAACAGAGACGGTCGGATTCGAGGTAGGTGAAGGTTCGCCCAAATACCCCCAGACGGCAGTCCCAGTCCTAGACTCAGCCGTGCCTGGTGACCGCCTGACAGCAGTCGTAGGCTGTGCCGAGTGTATAATTGAAGGGTCCATATCCTATCTATGCAACCGGAAAATTAACAAAAAGAATTGAAACAGGGTGCAGACGGTACCTTTGGAGGTTGAAATTTGCTGAGTTGATTGCTAGAAACCTTCACAGGCGGAAGTCTCCGAATGTGTTTAGAGCTGAAACAAAGATACATAGATCAGACGTATTTAATAGAAACTCATTCAAAAGCTCCCCAAGCGGTGGAGTCCCTGATGAAGGATAGCAAAGTTTGAGCCAAGGCTGCTCAAACGACCCCCATACGGTTGAAAGCCGGATGGGGGCAATTTGAAACAAAGTTTGAGCCAAGGCTGCTCAAACGACCCCCATACGGTTAAATGCCGTATGGGGGCTATTTGTATGTTTGAGAAAAAGCTAAAGGCTGCTCAAACAACCCCCATACGGTTAGACGCCGGATGGGGGCAATTTAAACAACGTTTGAGAAAAAGCCAAGGCTGCTCAAACGACCCCCATACGGTTAAAAGCTGGATGGGGGCAATTTGAAACAAAGTTTGAGCCAAGGCTGCTCAAACGACCCCCATACGGTTAAATGCCGTATGGGGGCTATTTGTATGTTTGAGAAAAAGCTAAAGGCTGCTCAAACAACCCCCATACGGTTAGACGCCGGATGGGGGCAATTTAAACAACGTTTGAGAAAAAGCCAAGGCTGCTCAAACGACCCCCATACGGTTAAAAGCCGGATGGGGGCAATTTGAAACAAAGTTTGAGCCAAGGCTGCTCAAACGACCCCCATACGGTTAAATGCCGTATGGGGGCTATTTGTATGTTTGAGATAAAGCTAAAGTCTGCTCAAACAACCCCCATACAGTTGAAAGCCGGATGGGGGCAATTTGAAACAAGGTTTGAGCCAAGGCTGCTCAAACTACCCCCATTCGGTTAAATGCCGGATGGGGGCAATTTGAATGATGTTTGAGAAAAAGCCAAGGCTGCTCAAACTACCCCCATACGGTCAAATGCCGGATGGGGGCAATTTGAATGATGTTTGAGAAAAAGCCAAGGCTGCTCAAACTACCCCCATACGGTTAAATGCCGGATGGGGGCAATTTGAATGATGTTTGAGAAAAAGCCAAGGCTGCTCAAACTACCCCCATACGGTTAAATGCCAGATGGGGGCAATTTGAATGATGTTTGAGAAAAAGCCAGGGCTGCTCAAACTACCCCCATACGGTTAAATGCCGGATGGGGGCAATTTGAATGATGTTTGAGAAAAAGCCAAGGCTGCTCAAACTACCCCCATACGGTTAAATGCCGGATGGGGGCAATTTGAATGATGTTTGAGAAAAAGCCAAGGCTGCTCAAACCACCCCCATACGGCTAAAGGCCGGATGGGGTTACTTATAACTAGTTTGAATAAAAACAAAGTTGGCTCAAAGGGGTCCCATGCGGCACAATGCCGGATGGGTGTATATTAAACATCCCAGACGGCAAAACGCCGGATGAGGGGGATTTTTGGACTTGTCCCAAGCCAGCCCCATGCGGCAAAATGCCGGATGAGGGCATTTTAAAACTAGGGAAATATTTCAAAAACCTCAGACGGGAAATCCCGGATGAGGTAGGGGTAATTCAGAAATTTTGGACAAAATATACCCAGGCGGCAAAATGCCGAGTGAGGTCCTTAATCTAGGGGCAAAGAGGGAGAAAGCAGACGGTACCTTACTAAATCCGCACTCAGCCGGAAGGCAGATTTCAAGTTCTTGCGAAAACCGGATGCTCGAAAGTCTTGAAAGAAGCAGCCGGTATCAGAGCTTTTTCTCAGGAAATTTTTGAAAAAAAATTTGAAGAAAATAAAAAGTGCGGAGGAAAGAGGTAGCCACCCTACTTATAGAAAGAGGCAGAAGGCGAACAGTCACCTTCTGCACGAAAATTTGAAATTCAAAAAAAAAGAGAAGGGGGGAAGCAGACGAACCGTCACTTACCCCATGCACCCTACGTCTGTCACAGGTGACACGTGAGTTTGCCACATCTCACCTGTGAGGGGCAGATGTTTAGGGTGAAAATACCCTAAGACACGTGGCCCAATAAAGGCTTGACACGTGTCAATCTTTCAACGGTCTGCAAAGGCCCAATCCCTTTGCAACACGTGTCCCTTGTACCCTAATTGAGGTACAGTTCTCCCTTACTATAAATAGTAAGGGTAGACCTCATTTATGGGGAACACACATTAATTGCAACCACACAAAAAACAAACAAAGCTCAAACCTACTGAAACGCTCTCGAACCGAGAAGCTTTTATCGTTCTTATTCCACTTCGAAAAGATACTAACTTAATCTTCGGAGGCGGAACTCCCACCCCCATCCGGAGTCTCCGTTACTCGTGCAGGTACAGGCGTAAGAAGGAAGTCTGCTAGGAAATCGTAACTCTCCCGAAGGACATAAAAGACCCCCAAACACCACTGGTGTTCTGACATTAAAAAGGTAAAATGCTATTATAGAATCCAACGTATCATGATACTTCCTTTTTTTCGGGGCCAGCTTTGGTGTCTGGTCTGATGATTGCACGGCTAATAGAGCAAGATCAACAGAACAGTAGCAACATTAGAGTTTTGGGCATTGCTTAGGCCGAGTCTTCTATGGCTACAACGACATAGAACTCCCAAGCCAAAATTCGGACCAAGAGTCCTAAATCGAGCCTGGAAGTTTTCGGTTGAAGGGCTTCCTTCCATAAGAGATGGTCCAGAAATTGAACGATTTGCTGCAGCTTTTGCGGTGAAGATGTTTCCAGCCTAAGATTGTCAAAAAGTTATTGGACCACATCCTCCGGTGGTTTCCTTCCTTTTTGAAAGAAATCCCACTATCACGTTTTCCCTGAATTTCATCACTTCCAGACTCGTGTTACTAATAAAACCTTTCATTCACTACAAAACCAAGACCTATAGTAAGTAGTCTAAGTACTTATTACCAATAGATCCCCTTTCCTTCCTCCTTCCATTAAGATAGTAGCTTCTTGTTAGTATTTAGTATATGAACTAGCTTCTTCTCTTTGAAGAAACTAGCCAGACTATGTAGATAGTAAAAGCAGGTCCACTAGGAGTATTCACTAACTGACTGCCTAACGGATTTTGTGGGAGAAGGGCTTTCTGCTAGAGTTATACTCCCTTTATCATTAACAAATGACTTCAAAAAGATCAATTGCATGAAATTGCAGATAACAAGCAAAGAGGGATGTAACATTCCCCTGGATTAGCATTACATGGATATAAGCCATACATAATTGCAAACACATGCCAAGATTAAAGACATTAAATCATTTAAGAAATCACCTTATAATATAGTTTCCATTGTTGTCAAATGGACTTGGGAGTGACAATGCACGATCCCTTGTAAGGAGCCAAAACTTATCAGATGAAACGGGAGTATCAATAGGTGCCTATAAACATAAAAGGATAAAACAAATTAGCTTTCCTATTGACAGTGCGCATGGTTGTGGCTTGTATAATCGAGACACAAAAGGTTGATATTCAAAGTAATTACAAACGCACCTGTTCCTGTTTCCATTCTGGAATGAGTTCATCCAGTGCTCGTGGCTCAAAGACATTTCCAGATAATATATGTGCTCCTAGCGACAAACAGAAATTATAACATAGTGAGTACGATATTCTCTAGTCAACCAGATGCTAGTAAGTAATCACATGAAGGGAGGAG